AAAAACCCCTCTACCGCTACCTCTCGCATGCTAAGCGAGCAAGTCTCTTGAACCTCTAGCGTTTCGCTCGTGTAATAACAAAACAAGCATACCACCACATTTCGAGTCTTTATTTAACTTTATTTATTCATAGTATATAGATTTTTTAAAGACACACAATTAAGACAAAAATTACGACTGTCCTTAAATTGTGGCGTTATTTTCAGCACAATCAACATTTTTGTTCTTAAAGTTTTTGTAACATTAAGGAGACTGTGTCAGTGAAGCATTTGAGGTGAAACAAACGAGACTTGCTGAGTTAAGAATTCAAAGAAAAGGTTCTATGTTCAGGAGAGGAATCTTTTCATTGTTCTTCATTTCCAATCAACCGATAATTTTGTAAAAAATTATGCATACAGTATTTGTGAAAATATAGGATACATAAAATGTTAGCAATGAAATAAACCCCAGGAAGACATTTCATTCCAAAAAATATAATTTCCACTACCATATTATATTATTTCCACCACAGAATGCTGTTAAACATAATATATCCTTTGAGATATGATGGAAATGAAACTGGTGGAAATGTTCATGAGACAGTTTCTTTTTTAAAGGTCCACAAGTTCAGAAGTGTCTGTAGAAACACTTGGGTACAAAATATAATGGCACATGCTTGAAAGCCAAACATAAATATGACAAAGTAAAACATTACTGTGCATATTTCAATATTTGTGCACCATGCACATATTTACTATGAATAGAGATCAAGTCAGAGTTTCTCTGATGTGCCATTGGGTGTAAGTATGATGAGGTTTCCTCTGGCATTCTGGTCCGCTTCAATTGCCTCAAACAGAGATTTAAAATTTCCAGCACCAAAATCCTGAAACAACAGAGAAATGCACTATTATTTATGTTTTCTCTACAAAGGAAGAAATGCTACATAGCTATACATTTAGGAGACATTTCTGAAACCTTAATTTCTAACCAATTAAATTCTAATTTAAATATGATGGATGTTTGCTCTGAAACAATTAATAAAATATTGCTAGATTATTTCTTACTTGATGGTTGTGTCTCTGGATGACCTCCAGAAACACGGTGGGTCTGTCCTGTACTGGTTTGGTGAAGATCTGGAGCAGGCATTGTCATCATAATCCACCAAGATTTTAAGTTCCTGTATAAAACAGTGTCACACTATTTTCACATTCTGCTTCTGACCTGCGACAGAAATTAGCATTCAAATGGACTATTAGCTGGCCAATAACTCTTTGCTACATTTTCTTCAAAGGTCAAATTCCAAATTTAGACTCTGCATTGCTCCGCTGATAAAACACTTTGATTACTTGAACTGGAAATATAGTCTTACCTCCAATATGTTGATGTCCTCAACAATTTGGACTTTGGAAGACTTCAGCTTCTCCTTGAGCTGCTGGTAGTAAGTGTCAGGCACTGCCATGAACTCCATACCACGTTCCTTTAGGTTACTACGGTGGCCGAGAGAGCTCAACGCGCTGCAACTTAAGAAAACACATGCAAATTGAAAAAACACCAGCAAATTAAGAAAACATCTTCATCAGTTTGACAACACACGCGCTGCAAATCCTCACAACACATGCAAATGAAGAAACGCGCGTTTCTTCATTTGCATGTGTTGTGAGGATTTGCAGCGCGTGTGTTGTCAAACTGATGAAGATGTTTTCTTAATTTGCTGGTGTTTTTTCAATTTGCATGTGTTTTCTTAAGTTGCAGCGCGTTGAGCTCTCTCGGCCACCGTAGGTTACGGATCTGAAAACATATTCTTGACATCTATTTAAAATGCAAAGTAAACTTTTTAAGCATTCACATAGAACAACCTAAAACTTTGCACACTACCACGTTTGCCTTCTCTATCAATGTCGTAAGACCTCTTATGGCTGTGGTTTACTCACTGCTGTAATGATGTCAGAGGTGTTCATAGCAATGTGTTGAACCCCTGCGCTACCATAGTACTCCACATATTCCTAAAAGAGAAACGTTATTTGGATGAATAGATAGATGCATGCATTGGATAGATTAATGTAAGTACAGTAGATGTCATGTGTATATTACATGCCTGGATCTGGGACTTGCGCTTTCCTATAGCTGGTTCATTAATTGGCATTTTCACAGTTTCTTCGTAGTTGGCCACCACTATGGAGCGCAGCGCGCTGTATTCAGTCTGTAACTGCTTGTCATCTACAGACCAGTATCTGTGGAACAGCAGGTTCCTCTGATACCTTCATTCAAACACATACAGATCAATTTAACACAGTTATCCACAAGAGTTTTTGCTTAAAAACTCTAAAAAAAAATTGTCAATGAAAAATCAAATAATTTTTAGTGAAAGTGACATGTGGCCAAATATGGTGACCCATACTCAGAATTAGTGCTCTGTATTTATCCCATACAAACTGTACACACACACACACACACAGAGAGCAGCCATTTATGCTGCAGCACCCAGGGAGCAGTTGGGGGTTTTGAAGGTCATGGTATTGAAGGTGGGAGAGAGCATTGTATATTCACTCCCCCCACCGGTACAAGACTCAAACCCACAACCTTTGGGTTATGAGTCCAACTCTCTAACCATTAGGCCACGACTTTAGCAGTGCATATACAAGAGCTGGACATGATAGGATGGGTTTAGATAATTCTGCTATTCCCACCCCTCACCACCCTCTTTTCCTCCCTTTCCCCTCCCTGCTGTGTCTAACTGTCTTCAGATGGTGTCTCAGACCCTTTGAAAATCATTTTGCTGAGTCATAATTACTATGGGATATTCTTGCATAATAATCAGTCGTCCATGACCACAGACTGAAATTCAACCATCCCATCTGCCGTCTCCATCTATTCTCTCTTCTGATCTTTCCTCTTTGTCTTTACTCCTTCCTCACCATGGAGACACACTGCTGATCACTGGGGAGGGGCAGTGTCTTGGTGTATTCTGATTGGATGGGATGGATAGGGAGTTTCCCCCCAAAGACTTGCACAGTTCTAAGCGAATACCTTTGTGATTTCTTTTATGCTTTTCAGTCTTAACAACGCTGGCACAGAGGTCTGATTCTGTCTGGCTGTTAATATTTATACATTTTGGAATAAGTTCAATGATGTGTTTAGAAAAGTTTTATACCACTCCACTATTGGCACCATCTCATGATCTGGTTGATTTCCAACCACATGGTCAATGAAGTCCAGCTTCCCGCTTGGCCTGCGAAAGAAAAATCATGTTAAGAGACAAAGACAATGACAATGATAGAAAACAATCCATGTATGATCTGAGATTTGGACCTCTTATATGAGAAGACGTGGACACGTCATTTTACCATTGAACAATAGCAAACACAATTTAATCATATTTATATGCCATCATACAATCGGAACACTCACAGTTTTGCTAAGAAAGGGTTACAGAACAGAGGAGCATGGAATCCTGGGAGGAAGAGCCCACTATATCCTGTCCGCTCTACAAATGTATGAGTGGTATCACCATACTAAAACGATAAGGAAAGAAGAATCAGAGAGAAAGTATGAGAATTAGATGAGATTTAAATACACACACACACTACTGTGTAAAAGTTTGTGGTTGGTAAGATTTTTAAAAATGTTTTTGGCTGCATTTATTCAATCAAATATACGTACAGTAAAACAATATTATAAACATTTTAATATATTTCAAAATCAAATTTATTTTCTGTGATTACAAAGCTAATTTTTCAGCATCATTACTCCAGTCTTCAGTGTCACATGATCCTTCAGAAATGTGTCTAACATGCTGATTTAGTGCTCAAGAAACATTTTTGTGGAAATCATACTTTTTCAAGATTCTTGATGAATAGAACAGCTTTTATTTGAAATCGAAATCTTTCATAAAATTATAAATACCTACTATAAATGTTGATTCATTTAATACATTCTTGCTGAATATAAGTATTAATTTGTTTTAAAAAATCATGAAATTATACATACTGTCTGCAGCACTGCCAGCTTCACCCTTCCAAACTTATCCTCTACAACATGAGACTCTTTAATGATGACGGCACCTCGTTCTCTTGCTTTATGCAGGAAAACTTAAGAAAGCAAAAAGTGATCACTGCAAATGATGCCTAGAAAGCACTTTTAAGAAATAAAACATGAGAAGAAACAATCAGCATTTACCTCTACCAGGAAGTCACAGTTCTCTACAGTGAAAGCTACATCTTTAACACCATCTCCATGTTTTACCAGGTGATCTCCCATCTCTGTTCAAGGAAAGGATAGATTATACAGGAAGACAATCGAATATCACAAATCTGCAATATTCGTTTATAAGTCTTACCTTTATTACCAGGATTCAAGGCAGAGGTGAAGACATAAATAATCTACAGGAAATAGAAAACATTGATCAGAGAACTTGTCCCGAAGCAGATCAAATTGGCAAGACTTCTACAGAATGCACTGAATGTTGAATGAATGAAGAGGATGGACAGGAATAATGACACAACCTGAATCTCACCTTCCCTTGTTTTACCATATGAGACACAACATCACGACTGCCTGTCTCCAGCCCACGATTCGCCAGGGGCTCAAAACCCAGTTTGATACAGTAATAAGATGCTATACTTATATAATAAGAGGAACACAAAGAGAATGAAAAGATGGGGGAGATTTGAGAAAATTATTTTTCTGTATCTATATATTTTACATTTAGAACATTCATATAATGATGACAAACTATTCGCAAACTGATACTTCAAAGTGAAGCTACAGTATATAAACATATTTAACTTTTTCTACACGTATGGAAATGGCACCATTTACTGGCGAGTGCCCCAAAAGTCTCAATATGGAACAAATTAGTGAGTGGAGGATGGTGGTTTCTGCAGCTGCATGCTTATTTCTCCCACCCCTAAAAAGAGCCAATAGCATCTCCCTACAGGACACCGCCTCTAATATTCAGAAACAAGCTAAATCTACAAACACATTTTGTTGAAGAATTACCTGTTTGGCATTTCCAACCCAGAAAGTGAGGGTTTCCAACCCTGCTCATGCTGTTGACATATAAAAACAATTACAGCAATGACTTAATTGTTGGATATTTTCTACTCCAATAAACAGTCTTGTAGCAGAATAAATCTACAGACTAGTCTAAATAGTGTAATGATGTTGCCTACAAGTTTTAATAAGAATCACAAGAAAAGTTCGAAATGCAGGGTGGCAGTAAAATATTAGTATATTAGTAGAAAGGGGACAAGTTATTAAACCTACCTTTTCACCTTTGTCAGTGTAGGATGTCTAGAGAAAAATAAACAATACTTTTAAGCATGTTTAAATAGTTTGGACAGTCATGTTTGCAATTCAAAGGCATCAAAATCTTAATTTGTCTTAAAATTAAGTGTCTTACCATCTTTTAGTGGATTTTGAAGGTAGCTTCTTCTTGGGTCAGTGGCAGAAATGAGGAGAGGTGAATGCAGATGCTGCAGATGTGAATTTGTAGGATGTGAGACTCCGCCCACCGGCGCTCCGGAGAGGAGGAGTGCAGCAATCAAGATGCTCTGCTGATGATATAAATGACTATTTTACTATAACAGTTTAGTATACAATTATAATATATAATATAGCATTCTAGTTTAATAATATAGTTTAATATATAATTTTTTTTCTCAATATCTGCAGTCTGTAAGGAGTAAGACCATATAGGCTATAAGGCTAGTATAACTCTAAAAATACAAAACCAGTCAAATATAGCCCGGAATAATCGATCTTCAGATTTCTGTCTGTTTAAATAAAACATGATGCGTTTTTTTTTAAAGAGGTTGTTTGTCTGAATGCAAAAGAGGAGGCACACGGTTCCTTTAACCTTGTTGGTTATAACCAATAGTTTGCATTTCTATTTGAATGTACAATACAGTTTCATTAGACCGTTAATTAATTAGTGATTTATTGACTTAAGTTATTATTATAACGTTTTACCTCAAAATTAGCTAATGTATGGATATTCGTGTGATATCATTTCAATATGGTAACTATTAATGTAAATGATTCGAAAGAACTGCAGTGTCATTCTGACGGCTAAAATTCAAACTCCTCCCTGTCACTCCCCTTCCAACTAGAAAATATAGTAGCCTACTGTTGCAGCCCCACTCCCCCGTTTTGAATAGTTTGCAGAATGCTTTTAACCCACTGGGGACTTCATTAACAGTGTTTTAGATGATGCTGAGAACAAAGTCGATACACACGACAGTTATGTCAGATGTGATGTAACTTATATATAATTATTTGCATTTACATTATCCTATTTAGCAGACACTTTTATCCAAAGCCACAGGAGTATAGATAGTTAGCGCAGGTATTTCACCTTACACATACAGTGGACTGGCAATATCTGAAATTTAAATGAGCATATGTGAGCGTTTAGGGGAAAGGTGTTAATGCACATGAGGTATGTTTCCCCAGAGAACAGTGAGTCCAATGCTGATTGGACAGCTACAGTTCTTGTGGGAAATACAGCGCTGTTGGTCTCTCTTAGCTCGACATGATCTCAACACAAGTCATAAGAGAGATCAGAGGAGAACGAAGAAACAATGAGATAATAAGCCATGAGTTGAGCTATAAAAAGAGTATAAAACAAGCATGAGGAGCGAAGAAAAGTAAAGAAAATGGAGTCGAGCACCATGAATGAGCAGACAGAAGAAAACCCAGCCATCCTGGAGAAGTGGTTGCAAAAGAGGAGAAACAGAGATGACAAAGAGAAGGAGGAAATAAACAAGCAGGCTGAAGCTGAGGAACATGATGTTCATGAAGAAATGGAGGAGAAGAATGAAACAGCTGAGGCAGTTACAGAAAAAGAAAAGCAGGCTAGAGTCCATTCAGTCTTCTCTTTGGTGAGGAGTCAGATCAGGGCACAGGCCGGTTTGGATGGTCAGAGCATGGGCATACTGGATGTTGTAAACCAAATCACCAGGGAACTAAAGAGCAAGAAAGAACAAGAAGAACCTGCACCCACAGTTGAGTTCAGCTCATCTGAGGAGAACACAGTGGATCAGGCTGCCCAGAAAGAGACTGTAGAAGAGCAGATAAAAGAAAACGCAGAAAATAGTAAGGAAAGAGGAGAAGAGATATGTGTAGCCTTGCTGGAGGATATATTGTTGAACTTGGAGTCATTAAAGAAAGATTTGAGAGAGGAGATTGCTCAGCTTCGCCGTGATATGCAAAGCTACACAGACCAGGCACTCTGTGGCCTGGAGACCCGCCTAACTAACTTAATGAGAATACAAGCGCTGGCTCGCACAACTCCCTCTGCACTTCCAAGAAAAAACACAGTCGAATCCATGGAGACCAAGAAGCATAGACCTCCCAGCATGCCTCCTCTGGGAACATCTAGAAGACGAGTGCTCAACCGCACAATGACCACTATCACCCCTAAAACTTGCCTACCTCTGTCCCTGGGGCCTCGCTCCAATTCAGAGCCGCTGGGGGGCTGGGGGGCTGAGACCGCCACCAGCAAAGGCGCTCAGATGTTGCTGAGGAGAGACGAGGCGACAGTTCATCCTCCTGGGCCGTTGCCTCCTGCTCTACCTCCTGCACAGAAAGGCAAGAAGGCTTTGCAAAGCAGGACTCGCATTGGTAAGCCAACATGATAGTGAGGTCTGCCATCCAAGCATACACTATTGTTCATTGGAAAAGATCTTTAGAATGCCATCAGGGGAGGAACCAACTTTCAGAATCAACGATAGAGATCGCAAGATAAGATTGTTCAATATGAACAGCTGCAAAGAGAGCTGAGGAGCAGAAGTGTTCTCTTCTGTGCTATTTTGTGTTGTTTGTCCATGAAACTAAGACCTCCAAGAAAAATCCTACTAAAGTACTCTCAGAAAAAAAAGATACATCAAGGTGAATAGTATGTATAATGACAAAATATACAGGATGAACTACAAGTTAACTTCTCAATCTGTTTATAGTTTTATCACCGAGGTGCTATAATTTCACAATTGCATTGCACAAAATGATTTTTGTTATTGAATAAATATAAATATAGAAATATAAATATCACTAAATAAAAATATATCTTTCAGGATACTATGTATTTTAATTTGTTCTGTCCAACTGTATTAATCAAATGCACAGTAATGCATGTGCAATTTGTAATAAGATTGCAAATGTAATTGGTAATATGTTATTTTGTATTTTGGTTATTGTGTTTTTGATTTTAGAGGTTGAATCAAAAAGATGATTTAATAAAAATTGTCAATTAATTCAGATTGCATTAATTTATATTGTAATTAATTTGTATACATTTGCTTACAGTTCTGCTTATAATAGAACTTAGAACTTATAACGTGTTCATTGCATGCATGTCGGTTTTTTTTTAATGATGCATTTCAAGTACAAAGCTTCTATTTAAATGTAACTATCAGCAGTTTCCCTAGAAAATCCCTATATCAGATTAAATCACAGGACAATTTAATAAATTAATAATTTATAATCTAATAATTAAGCATTGCCTAGAGAGAACAGTCTCTGTGAACCCACACAACAGGTTTAAGACAGTGGTTTAATACAAAACAAAAACACACTCAAGAAAATCAAAAACAACAGAACTAGAACAAAAGCCATATATACTGTCATACATATTCAGATCACTGCATAATAAAACATCGATCTAATGTTTTCCTTTTCCTTGACGTATCTTTTGCCACATGTAGGCTACATCCCTCTGCAATATTTAAGAATGCAAATATAATATTATTATTGTAACATCATCAGAAAGGCAGTCATATCTGAAAGATTTACAAACCAAAACTGAAAATACAACTCTATTTTCCATAAAAGCATTCCATAAAAGAGAGCATAGGATTATTCAATCAGACATATGCTGGTAGCGACACCTGCTGGTAAAATCAATTTCATATCTACAATGATTCTGCCAATTTCAAGTGTTCAAAAATGAAATGAACTTGATTAATCCTTAAATGTGAAATATAATGTTAAATATAATGATGAAAGAACACAGTAATCGTAAATACAGTAAACAAATAGTAAATACAAAACAAAAACACATTCAAAAAGTTCCATACGCTGTAGGTCTACGCAGGTCCTTCCATCATATATATATATAGGTTTTTGTATAACTTTGTATATTCTTATTTGTAGCGAATAGTATGTAAATGGTCTAGGTAGGGTTGAAGTGCGCATGCGCATGGCGTGCGTCCCCGTTTGATGACAGCTGTGCGCTGTGGCTGTTGCTAAAGGGAGGAGAAAATCTCACGACGGAGGGCTTTTTATCTCGTTCATTCGCAGCTAGGACCTTTGGAGGACTGAAACGAGAGCTAAACTGTAAAACCCACCCATACCAATCGCGACTGAATTCAGTACTTCACACCCAGCCGTCAAATTAGTCGGTAAGTCTGTTGTAAGTCTGGCTCGGGCTGCTTAATGTGACACTTTAGCGAACTGAGCGTTAGCTGATTGTTGGCCTGCTTGTCTCGGGTCATGTTGTCACCTTTCGTTTTCAATCCCGTTTGTTGCCAAATTAAGCTCTTCGGAACATATTTCGGTTTCTTGGCATATTGTTACATGACTGTAGATTTCAATACACTACTAAGCGTGGTATTTCATTTATCCTTGCGCTATAAAACACGACGATTCTTCGCTGTTGGCCGAGTCTTGCAGCTTTTGTTGTCGAGCACTGCTACTCGTTGACAGTCATGCTGGTGTGATAATGCCAGAGACAGTGTGTTATTTGAGAGTTTAATGCCCTTGGTGATTTCTATCATTTTCCTTCAACGTGAATTGCACTCGGATTTGCAGCCAATTTTGTCATTCTTGAGAAGTGGGACAAAACAGGGTGCAAAATTGAAAAAAATAAAACCTTGTACTTTATGTATCTTATGTACAGAGCTGCTTTGATACAACCTCCCAACTTTTCTCTTTTTTTTAACCAAATGTGCTTTTTTTTTTTTTTTAGCTTGGACTGTGTAATATAATTTCAACTTTATCTTTAACAGCATTCAAGATGTTTTTAACATTTCAAAACACATTCTCGTGTTAGCAGACAGATTACACCTTCACATGTGACCAATAATTCCAATACAAATATAAAATATCATAATGAAATATTATCAAAATATTCAACTGACGGAGGTGACGAAAACCTGAATTTGTAGTAATTTTAACTATCTCATACATTGATTCAGTCAATTACTGTATTAAAACAAACTGAGTATGTTATTGTTTATAAAGCTTTTATTCAAGAGTCACATTGAAGTATTTTGATATATCATTGGAACACAAGATCTTATGGTGGTGACATCTGACGGTGTTGACAAATTTGGCATTTCTTTCACAAAATCAATGGAGTTCATGTAGTAGCCATTTTATTTGTTTCTGTTGCTGCTAGATGCTAATGGCGCCTGCTTCAGGAGAATACAATTATCTAAATATTTCAAAGAATTTCCTCAGAAATTGGAAGATGGTGTTGACATGTCACGGCTGTGACAAAGGAAATATTAACATTAGGATTTCAAATATTCTAAAACTAAAACTTAGCAGAGCCTGTCTGACACTGATGTACTCTGCTGAGGTGAACTGTGGAAGGGGGTCCTTTAGAGTGACAGCTGCCCCTGATATTCCCTGATTTAATTACATTTTATTGAATGTCAGACGGTGTTGACAAAAAGTGGGGACGCAACTTTAAAATCTTATGAAACATGTATGTTTCATTAAAAAAAACAACCTTGCTTTGATAGGAGATATTATTAAGTGTTGCTTTTGATAAAACAAGCTCTTTTTCATCATTAAAAAAACATTTTTATCCATTTTATTGCATATGAATGATTGAACCCTTCTCTGTGGACACACTGTTTTAGATGTAGTGAGAGGACATTAAGAAACACAGATTTGGTATAATAATGAGAAAATTAAATTGGTGATAATTGTGTTAAATACGTTCTATTATTAATCCCTCATGACATTTAAAATTGAAATTATTTTTATTTGTTAAAGCTAATAGCAGTTACCCTGGCTGGACCTGTTTTGTCCCACGTCTCACAAATGCCTGGATTGACGTTAGATATTTCCCATAGTGATCGAAATATGTGCGAAAAGTTCATTTCTGTGATAGATGTCAAGTGCGTAGCCATGCGTACGTTGCAGTATTTGACAGTGTTGTTTGCTGCAAATCTCTAAATTCAAGGGTTTGCATACTGGTCACTTATTTCCCAAAATAATCATTTGTCTGGAAATATGACATAACTATCCCTAAAGGTAGGTTTAGTTTGCACATGTTCATACAATGGAAATTTGTCGTGTTTTAAAATGATCAAATGAAATGATAAAATGAATAATCCATCATTTAGAAACGTATGATAAAATAAAGATAAAAAGGAAAGGAATTTAATAGATTTAATAAATTCGAAATACATTTAATAACAGGAGTGCTGATGTGATTCAACTGCAGATCTTTACAGTCATGCTGATATTCAGACCATCAGCACAATGGCGAGTTTGGTATTGCTTTTATACAGTTTAGTAAGCAAAATGTTAGTATTGAGTTCATGTTTTAGATTCTTATAGATTTTGTTGTGAACAATTCATCTGTACATATGTTTCCTTTTTTCTTTTCTTTTTTGAACCCTGTGATGTTTAATTAGAATGTCATAACTCAAACTTCTCTCAGGTCACATTTGCAGAGCTTCTCCACTAATATAGTCCACTTAAACCCTGCCCTTCCACAGTCTGCTGCAACATTGCATTAATTTTTAGTGCACCGTCTACATGTCAAAATCCAATCAACAACTAATGGATAGAATCAAGTCCCGGCCCTATTTTATTATTATTATTATTATTTTTTTTTTAATAATCCATTTAGATAATCCGATAATACAGAACAAAAGATTTGTTGCTACTTCTGTTTCATTATGACTTTAACCACCTATGAAAATGATCCCAAAATAAGCCAAAGCATTAAGCTTTGCTTGTTACCATGTTGCGCACAGAAAGCTGTTTTTTTCTGAAAGTCCCATTGGTGTTAGACTAAATCAGCACTGGAATGCTCTGATTGGACATAATTAAGAGCAAATACAAAATAAATGTAAATGTTCTTTGGGTAATTTGGGAAACTGTGATCCATACGAGCTCTCTTGCTCAAACGCACACAGTCTCAGAAAAGCCCGTCTTGTTTCTCTTAGAAGTCTGCCAAGTCCTAGAGTGCTCTTGTTTTCTAATCACTCAGCTGTGTGGCTGGCTCTGCTTTTCTGATCTGGTTCATCCCAACTGTTCGGCCGTTCTCATGTAGCCTCATATTGAGGGCATCAAGCTCCTCCCGTGGCATCTCCTCAACACATGCCAAATCTGTGACATTAGGTCAGCAATGCTCTTTCAGTAGTATACTGGAGTTTAATTGATGCAGTAACTATTTAGTGGTGCTCTGCTCATGTCTCTACACCTTCTTTTCCTTTCTAGTATAGTGAAAGCTTAGTAAGGAAGATTCATGATGCCAATTTACTCTACCTTAGCCAAATGTCCTGGTTTTGTTGGAGTGCTATGTACTGACAAACCATTTTAGCTTTAATGCATGTTCTGCATTTTTAACAGACTGCAGTTTTGTGTCATGTGACTGAGGCAGT